ACAAAGTGTCCATTTTTATGCACCAAGCTCCAAGATTTTGAGGAGCCCCCAAAGTTGTTCCCTAATTGAACAGCCCAAAGTTTGCTAATGTGGGTTTGTGTGAATCAGAAGAAAGATGAAAAATTTGAGTACTTTGATCTTCATTGTGGATTCTGCTCACTTTGGCCATTTCACTTTCTTAAAGTTTTTAACTTTTCTCTATGTTCCCCCTTCTCTGCCTATCTGCAATTATTTTGGGTTGGTGAAATGAGTGGTTGTTGGATTTACTTATTATACATATAAATATAATTTTATATTTTAAATAAAACCTATTTATTATATAAATAAATTATTATTAAATTTCTTAATAACATCATTGCCTTTGAGAGCTGTGCTATGTTAGCTCCCACTCTGGCCTCTCCGATGCCTTGAGTATTTTGTTTTTCTCACTTCATGTATTAAATTTTTTTTTTGGAACTGTCTCATTTTTTTAGCTGGCTTCGCCATTGCTGGATGCAGTAATGAAAATGATGGATATCATGACATTTATGGTGAAAACAGTAGAAAGAAGCATGGAAGCAAAGTTAACGAGGAAGAAAGTGATGATTCATTGGGTTCAGATGCTTCCCTTGGTCCTATTCATTCTCACCATACTTATGCTCACAGAGAAAGTAGTCACGGCACAACAATTTCTAAGAAAGTTAAACAAGATCATGGAAGCAAGTTTTCTTCCAGGAAGAATGCAAACAAACAGGAGAAGAAACCTGTTGAAAGCTGAAGCAAAAAAAGATGAAAAATTTTCATTGAAGTTTTATGTTTCATACTAAACTCTATTAGCGGATTTGGTAGATGATAAATTTTTTTTTTTACCGATAGAATATGATAGAATTTTTTTTTCCGGGTAAGTCACTAAAAGGTGTTTGGTAGATCAAATTTTTTCCGAGAATGTTGGGTTAATTTTATTGATATTATGTGTTAATTTTCTCATTACATGGGAAGAAACAATTACATCTCATCAATGGTAATCTTTCATAACCAATTTATATGTAAGATAAAATTTTGGGAAATTTTTTTTCTCAGCCATACTTTTACTTCACCTCCTATCGAACATAGGCAAATAATTTTTCTCACCCCATTTTCCTTTTTTTTCCATCTCCTATCAAACACCCCCAATGTTCAATGTCTATTATCCTTTTAATGTATAAACAGATTTTCATATGTGAGGAGGAAAAATGTATGAGGCCGTGAGCCATAAGAAACACACTATATGAGTGCTTTAATTGAGGCATTATCAACATTATTCTAACTAAATCATACAAGTTTTTTTTAAAACATTTTTTAATATGTGAACAATATATTCGATTGAACTCGACAGTGTTTTAAAACCTTGTCCTGCCCAGGGGTCGATCCCACCAGGTCATTCTTCTCTCTGAGGGTTGGAGTCAACAGTTAGACCCTGCATGTATATTGATCTCTGATCCTTGAAACCCCCCGGTTGAACCCGTGACTCCCGAGTCAGAGGGTTCACGTCGTTTGAAACCCCCACACTCGCTACTCCCAAGATCTAGAACTAGATCTGAAATCTGAAACACCGGAATCTGAAACACTCGCTAAATTCTCAATTTTAGTCATTAATCATATTTACACTGCATAAAAATATTCTGTCCTTATATAGTTATATATATAGATAAAAGCGTTTGTCATTTTAAATCACACAAAATTATGTTATTTAAAATTACAAATATTTTTTCACACACACACACATATATATATATATATGGGGAAGGATATTGTAACAACCAATTAGTGTTACTACCAATGTTACTACCAATCAATTTCATCGTTAGAACGATTACGTTGATCCAACGGTTATATTTATTTCCATCTTTGTATGGTTATGATTCTCCGTATTTAATACTTTATATTTATTTTCACCTTTGTATGGTTATGATTTCCTATATTTAATGCTTTCATATTAAATATGGGGAATCATGACTATACAAAGATGAAAATAAATATAACCGTTGGATAAACATAATCGATCTAACGGTGAAATTGATTGGTAGTAACATTAGTAGTAACACTAATCGGCTTTTTCACCCTTTTACCCCTTATTAATTAATTAATAACTATTTTGCCCCTAATTCGAAACTATTTATCAATCTGCCCCTCTTTAGTCGACTACCTTGCATTTTTAATCGACTAAATGGCCAAAACAGACAAAAAATGGCTGCTGGGAGATTTAGTCGACTAAATCTCCCTATTTAGTCGACTAAATCTTCATATTTTACAAAAACAAAATAAGTCAGTATGATTTTAATCGATTAAGTAGAGAGATTTAGTCGATTAAATCTCCCAACAACCGTTTAGTCGATTAAAAATGCAAGGTAGTCGATTAAAGAGGGGCAGATTGGTAGATAGTTTCGAATCAGGGGCAAAATGGTTATTAATTAATTAATAAGGGGCAAAAGGGTGAAAAAGCCAACACTAATCGGTTGTTACAATATCTTACCCATATATATATGTATATATATATATATATATATATATATATATTAGGGGTTTTCGCGGTCTGGATTGGATCGGTTTTGGAAGCAAAAATTATCTGATCCAATCCATTCGGTTTGATCATATAATCATCCATTCGGTTTGGATTTTTTTTCAAATTCGATCCGATCCAATCCAATTTTTTTCGGTTGGGATTGGATCGGTTTTCGGTTTTACGAAATCCTAAAATTTATTTTATGATTATTGTGCAAATAACATCTTTTATATATATTGGCTTTGTAAATTTTTTTTTTTGAAATACAAAAGCATTACTAAACTATAATATAATTTATATTTTGGGCAATAAGATATGCAGCTCTACAAAGATAAAATTTTATTGATGAGATGTGACTAAATTTTTTCTTGGGTTTAGTTGATGAGTTAATGAGTCTTGGATTTTGAAATTTTTAGGCTATGATTTGAGAAAGACCCAAGTATGTAGAGAAAAATTAATATATTGGATCGGTTTGGATCAACCCATCCAAAAATTGATCCAATCCGATTAAAATTTGCAGTTTTTTTTTTGGTTTTCGGTTTTTCAGTTTATTCGGTTATCAGTTTTTCGGCTCGGTCACCGCAGTTTGAATCGGTTTGGATCGGTTGATGAACACTCTTAATATATATATATATATATATATATATGTATATATATATATATATAGTTTGTTTTTTCTAAAGTTACTTTAGATAACTTTATCTAATGTTCACCGAAACGACATCATTTTGGGACAAAAATCATGGTATTTTTGTAATTTTAATTTATTTCAGGGTTATAATAGTCTTTATCATTCTAATTTTATTATTTTTCAACCCCAAAATGACGTCGTTTCAATGAAATTAGACAAAGTTATCTAAAGTAACATTATATACTTTTTTCCCATATATATATATATGATAGGTTATATTTATAAACTTTTTAGTTTACAAACTCTTACAAACTACATTATATTCTCCCGGGAGAACATTGATTACACTATGTTCTCCCGAGAGAAGATAGTGTAATTTGTAAAAAAATTCAAAAAAAGTTTGTAAACGGATCCTTCCTCTATATATATAAGCTTATCTACAGCTACCCTTTATAACTATGTTCTCTCAGGAGAACATAGTTATAACATTAAAGTTATTTTTTTTCTCTCCTCATTTACTTTTCAGAACCTGTCTGCTGACGTGGAGAGAGAAAAAAAAGCAACTTTAGTATTATAACTATGTACTCCCGGGAGAACATAATTATAAAAGAGTCAGTTGTAGATAACCTTATCTAAAGTGGCTGTAGCCTAGTGGTGTGGGGTGTGTGTGTTAGGAGTGTGTGTAGTGTAGGGTGCTGTGTTCAATTCCTTGTAACCTCCAAAAAAAAAAAGTAAATCATAACCGCACAAAGATGGATCAATGATGATAAAGGAAGAGAGAGAAAAAGGGAATCATAACCATTCAAAGGTGAATCAATTAATATAAGAAAATAAATAAATAAAACGACATAGTTTTGGGTAGGGATGTGCATGGGTCGAACTGAACCGATTTTTTTGAAAAACCGAACCAAATTGGTTTAAATGGTTCGGTAGGGAAGTGGTTCAGTTCGGTTCAAAACTGGTTCGGTTCGGAACCGATTCGGGTCGACCCTCTTTTGAAAATAAAAGAATTTAAAAATTTAAAAAATAAAGTTATAAAAATTAATTTGGTTCAGTTTGAAAACGGTTCGGTTCGGTTCTTAAACTGGTTCTAAAAATCGGTTCGGTTCAAGAACTGATTTTTAAAAACCGATTATTTTAAGGGGCGGTTCGGTTCGGTTTAGTTTTTTGGTTATTTTGCACTCCTAGTTTTGGGGTAGCCGGTGACAAACTTATATCAAGCTGATTGAGAAATATTTTTCATGTATATATATATATATATGGGTCCGTCGCTTCTCATGTGACTGCTGATGAGAAAAGTTGCAGCAAATTTTTAACAGTAGGATACACGTGCGGATCCTAGGATACATGTGCGAATTCTATCAAAAAAAAAAAAAAAAATCAGGATTCGGACGCGTATCCTGTGTTGCTGCAATTTTTCTCTTCTGCAGTCACATAAGAAGTACTTTCCCCTATATATATATATGGGTCCGTCGCTTCTCATGTGACTGCTGATGAGAAAAGTTACAGCAAATTTTTAACACTAGGATACACGTGCGGATCCTAGGATACACATGCAGATTCTATCAAAAAAAAAAAAAAAAAAAACCAGGATTCGGACGCGTATCCTGTGTTGTTGCAAGTTTTCCCTTCTTCAGTTACATAAGAAGTACTTTCCCCTATATATATATATATATATTTGTGAATCTAAAGTTTATTATTTACTAAATAAATTATATTTAATTTCATAGAATGTAACTGTAGAATGCAGGCTTCATTTTTTCAAATTCTGATGATTGGATGGTTTTAGTTGAACTGTTGAAGAATTGCTCTTTCAAGGTCCAAACCTCAACAGTGACTGAATACTGAAAGAGGTGTTAACTTCTGAATTAAACGACACACCGTTTTTATCAATGGTGAAGGGGTTGCACGGCCAGAATCTCCCCGCCGATGTGGCGCAGGTCGTTGATCAGTTGGAGCGCCACTGCTTGGCTCCCGATGGATCTCTCATCTCCAAGCCTCTCTACAACGATTTCCAACTCGTATCGCTCTCTCTCTTTTTCTCTTGTTCCCAACTACACCCCACTTGATTCCTAAGTGTTTGTAAAATGCCCCACCAGAATTGGAAAATGGGTGTTCCGTCTTATCCCCAAAAATTCAAACTTTTTTTTACCCATTTTGTCAAATATCCAAAAAAAAGAAAGATAAAATTTAGTTGGGTATCTTGATTCCTTGGGGAAAATGGGTGTTCCATTTTATCTCAAAAAATTCAAACTTTTTTGTTGACCCTTTTTGTCAAATATTCGAAGATATGAAATAAAATATAGTTGGGTATTGATTTGCTGAGTTATTTTGCAGGCCAGAGAGGAAATGTGCAGGGAAAGACTGCGTCACCTGGAAGCCATGGTAAAGGCTTATTATGTATAGAATGAATAAGTGTTTATAATTTTTTTTTTTTTTTAAATGTTTTGTGATATTTGGAATAAAAATTATGATCTGTGACTGAATATTTGTGTTTTTGATTTTGCTGGATTGAGTTGGTTTAGTTTATGTTTGATTGTTAGTTTAGTGACTTGTATTTGTTATATGGTGGGTTGGTTGCAGGCTATATATTCTGAGGCCATTGCAATGGTGGAAGAGTATCAGCAAGCCATTTCTGTGTCTAACATCGGTGCAATTAGAGATACCGGCAGTCTTTATCCCCAGCTTGGATTGAGGAACTCTCCTCAGGTTTTGAATTATTATACTGGAAAGTTAGTTTTTTTTTTTTAGAAACAAATATGAGATCTGTCCGAGAATGCTGTTGATTTTGGTCATAGAATATTTGAGGTTATGTACATGGAGAGAAAATTTACACTCTTTAATTTGCGTGCTTCATGAAATCATATTGGCTCTAAGAGGTTCTTCCACTTATAATGAGAGACAGGTACTATAAAGTATTAACTCAATATCTCTAAACTGAAGTTGGGGGATTCCAGAACAAATAATAGCTATTGAACCTGTAGGCAATGCAGCATATATGTGAGACCCACAATTCGTGTTTAATCTACTAGAGGTGGAAATAATCTTCAGAGGTTAGTTACTTAAGTTCTTTATGGGGCCTTAGAAGTTAGGAGTTGGAGCAAACATGCTACCTCTTCCTCAGGTTCCTCTTGACAATTTTGTCTTAACTCTGTTTCAAATGTGTTGGAGTCTAATATGTTGACTAGGTTGTTTTCCCTAAATTGGAAGGCATGGTTCTATCCCTCTACTTTTAGAAACTATTCGTGATTGTTAGCAGAGGATTTTGAAAAAATAAAGAAAGTTTCATGTTTACCTGGTATTGCTAAAGATTAGTGTCTTTGGTAGTTAGCTTACAGACACCTATGGATTTATTTCATATAGAAATATATTTTTTTCTGTCATGTTTTTAGAGGATAAAATTTATTTCTTTACCTCTCCATTTTTTCCCCTTCTTTTCTTTTATTTCTCTCTTTTCTTCTCTTATTTATTTATGTACTTTCTTCTTTTTTCTTTATTTCTATCTCTCTATCTCTTTAATTTTTATTTTATTTTTACTTTCGTATTCTCTTCTTTTTTCTCATGTATTTTTCTCTCTATTGTATCTTTATTTTCACATTATTTTATATTATCTTTCTTTTTAATTGTTATTGCTATTTTTTAATGTCTAACGTTATTTATATTTTTTTAATTTTATTTTTAATCCTTTTTTTCTCAATCTTTTCGTATTTTTCATTTTGATTCATCTACCACCAACCCCAACTAGTTTGGGATAAAGATATTGTTGATGTTGATGTTTTCAGTGGATATGTTCTATTTCCTACTCTCTCTCTTTTTCAACTTTTTAATTCTTAATATTTCAAGCTTTCATTATTCATGCATTGCGTATACTTTTTGGGCACCCTGGTTTACATTGATTTTAAACAAAATTTACATGTCTATATATTGTCAGGTTTATCAGACTTTAGAGCATCAAATGGTTGTGGCTGAAGCTGCTCAGCGATTGAGACTACCTCTTATCTCCAAAGATGGAGAAGTTCGTGATGAAGATATTGAAAAACTGAGTGTAGTGTCTCGAAGCTCCCTTGACAGTACTAGCACCAGTGCCATGATCAACTCAAGCATGAATTCTACTAATTATACCACTCCTAACAGCTCTGTTAGCGGGGCCAATTATTCTCTCGCTTCCGCGGATCCAGCAGAACCTGGAGTTGGTGGTGTCCCTGATCGTTTTCTTGGTATTACACCTGCATATTTGTGGCAAACCCAGCATCAACAAACTCCATTATCTGTGGTATACTATGTAACAGAATATGAAAGTCAGCTTCTAAGCATGCTCTTATTATAATAGGTTTTATTTTGAAGTGATTAACTTAGTTATGTTTGTTGTTGATGCATAAACGGTGTCTTTAGGATATGACAGAATATCGCATGTCTCTCTCACGTGAGGTGGAGGCTCGCTTGAAAATGAAATGTGATAAGTTAGATGCATTTGTATTGGATGACAATGGTAAGTGTGAACTGCACATTACTAATCTAACATAGGGCTGTGATGGTGAATTGGTGATTTTCTGTGTTTTATCATTTGGTTTTTATCTGGTAGCTGATTCCTTATTTCTTGATTCAGATTCTTCATCACCTGGAAGTCAAAGTTCAAGTTCTCGACTTCCCGAAAGGTTTGAGCTCATTCTAGGAGCCTAATTCTTTTAATTGTCAGGCAATTTGTATTCACATGTGTTGTAACGTAAAAATCCTAGTGTTTTTATTTTTTTTCATCGGATAAAGGAATAGTATGTTATTTTTATTTTTTTGTTGAAGCATGTGATAGGATTAAAGAATAAACAACAGGATTTCCGGAATAATTCCTCTATATAATTCCTCTATATACTTCTCATTGCAGTAAAACTAACATGGATTAACAATGAAACAAATCTGATTACATGCTATAGTGCTGCTATAGCTCAGAATTATGCAGAAGGAAAATAAGAAAATAAACTGAATCTAAAATACTTCAGGATCCTTCGAGACGCCCTTAGATCTCCCATTTTTTGCATCAGCAAACTCTATGACCACTCAGGTGCCGTTTCCATGTTCCCTCACCCCTATATCATCGGGCACAGCATGTGTAACAAACTTCTCTAACAAACATGCTGACTCAGCATGCTCAATTGGGCTGTGACTCACATCAGCAACAGAGCTGTGACCAGCCTCCCTATGACCAGTATCAATATCATCCTTCCTGGGCCTCTTACCCCGCTTTGGGTCCCTAACATACACCTTACCATATTGGGCCTTGTGAATTTGGACCCTACCAGCATGCAACCTAGGGCTCCTGCATTAGAAGTACATATATTTAAGGCCTAAAATGCTACTACCCAGTTTCAATCTTGTCTGGAGATTTGAGACATGTTAGATTTTGTACATATATCCAATCCAATTTAGTGACCCATAAAATCATGTCTATCTTGTTGTGGAAGTTGTTGGATGAGATGAGATTTATATTCATACAATTCTAGATTAATGTATTGATGAAAATGACTAATGCAACTGATATGATTATAGGCTGAAAGTTTACTTTAATCTTGGTGATTTGAGTAACAAGGATCACTGTTTATTTGAGTTCTGGTTTCCTTAGCTCCCCAAGATTTAGGGTTTTGTCCTTTAGAAATAATATCCTTTTCTTTTGGCTTCTAGGTAAGGACCTAGCTTATATTTGCCATTGCTTATGTCTTATGCTAAGTACGAATGTTTGAGCTCTGAAAGGTCTTCCTTATATGAAGTAAACAACATATACTAATGTGTTGAGTGGATGCTTCATTACTTGTAAGTTCCATACTGGACATATATCAGTGGACTAAAGTTTCTTGCTCTTCATATCTGTCATTTTACCAGGGTGAAATTATTGATTGAGGAGATTGAAAGAGAAGAAACAGCACTACGGGATGACCTTTATTCTGCTGATAGAAAATTTGCTGAATATTATAATGTACGTGCATAAGCATTTAGTACAAGAACCGTCTCTCCTGCAGATGCAAACATTTTCAGAAACTTCCTCATTGAATCCTTATGCATGTGTGTTCGTGTCTTGAGAGAGAGAGAGATTTTGCATGTGTCGTGTGTCATTTGTTACAGTTATATATCTTTTTTGGGAACATGTTCACAGTAGCATGTAGATACTGAATGCCGTTATTCTTAATTAGGTCTTGGAGCAGATTCTTGGAGTGCTTATTAAACTTGTCAAAGATTTGAAATTGGACCATCAACATAAATATGTGAGTATTAATAAATTCCACTATTTTGGTAGCTAAGTATGTGTCTTGACTTACCCCAATGTATTTTTAGGATGAGCTGCAGAAGACATGGCTCTGTAAAAGGTGTGAGACCATGAGTGCAAAATTGAGGTTTGTTTGTTAAATCCCTTATATATTTCCATGGTTCTTCAATATTGATATGCCGTCAGGGATTTTGAACTTTGAAATAATAGGAGATGATGATAGAAAATCTCTGAAGAGATTCTTTTTGTAAATAGACAATTTTCCCTTTCTTTTTTCATTGTGTAGCCAGGTTCTGTTATCCAATAAATCTGGTATTTTCCGTTGAATGTCAGGGTTCTGGAACATGTTCTACTACTGGAAACTTACACTAAGGACTCTATACCTGCCCTTCATAAGATAAGGTATAAATGATGAAACCTCTGTAAGGCTGTAAGAAGTTCCTGATTTAATACTAATAAACCATTTTTCCTTTTTAATTTCAGGAAGTATCTTGTTGAGGCCACTGAAGAAGCTTCTATTCAATATAATAAAGCGGTATGTTCCTATGTTTCTACATGCATGTATTAGCACTTAGAGATAATATAGTGATCATTGATTTTAGTTTTATATAGTGAATTGGGCTCTTCACAAGAAGAAAATGTGAATATAGCAAGACGTGAGGCAACATTTTGATATTAGCTCAGCATGTGTCATCCCTGTTAAGAGCATCTTGTCATTCATTATGTATTGAAGATGATGGATTGATGTCTGTTCTCCCCCCCCCCCCCCCCTCCTTAATAGATATAGATGGACAAAGAACTCTTGATGAGCTCATAATAGCACATCAGTTCAACACTCAAATCTCATATACCTCATTTATTTTTTTATTTGCCACATTCTCCAGTCACCGTTTTAATTGAATAGTATAAATGTTTAAGTTATTTTTTATAATATGATGGAAACTAGAGTATTTTAATGGGTATTGCAATACCTAAAGGCATGATTTAATTTTTGTTCTAGATTTGAAATAATTTCAGAGTGCAGCTTTGGTTAGTGTTTACATACTAGCCAACTAGTATTAATTTTATGAGTGTTATCAGTATGATGTCTTTTACTTCATTGTTATTCATCATGTTTGTGCTATATTTATATATTTTGACCCATGTAACAGGTTACTCGCCTGCGTGAGTACCAGGGTGTTGATCCTCACTTTGACAACATTGCGGGACAGTACCATGATATTGTAAAGGTGATATTAATTTAGCTAAACCATTTACTTCATTCATACCAAAATATTATATATATATATATATATATATATATATATATATATATATCCATTCAATTCTCTCAAATTTCTGTTTCTCCTGTAATTTTCCTTATTTGGGATGACAATAATGATCAAGTAAGAAATTTAAGGATATAATGGATAAAAGAGATATACTAGTTTATTAAAGTTGAAAGTCTTAGAACTTCCGGGAAAAAACAGAGTTTTAGCAAATTTGTTTCTACTGTATTTATCTTTTCTGAATTTCTGACGTTGATGATATTGTGCAGAAATTGGAGAATATGCAGTGGACAATCCATCAAGTTGAAATGGATCTGAAACGTTTGCCAGATAACCCAAGCACATAGAAGTTTTATTTTTTGTCCCCTTAACACTAGTTTGGTTCAGCATATACAAAGGAGGGAATGGATCCTGTTAAATTCTCATGTGACTTTTTGTGTGTGAAAATTTTGTGTTCGTCCCTCTCGTAATAGGTTTTCACAAATTAAAGGAATCTTCCCTTAACACTGCATTCTTTATGTCACTCGCTAATGATTATGAAAGTTGTGAAATCTTCAAAGTTCAATCTATGTGCTTGTTTAAGTATTTTATGAAGATTTGAGATTTGAGTGTTGGTTGTTGTAGACTCTGGAGTGTATATTTATTAGGCTACAATGACCGAGCTTAGTGATGTACACCATAGTATTTTATTTAATTTTGAGGATAAGTAATGCTACGGCCAGAAATTTCAAATCTTTAGACTTTTTTAAGAATAATCATGACTTAGACCCTTAGAGATCCTTCATTAATGGAGAATTTATAATATATTCTCGCAATTGTTTGGATAGTATTGTAACCGTTTAATTTGATTTAGTAATATTTTATTTTTAGTCTAACGGTATTTTTAGTGATATAATATTCTTAGAATGGGGCTATGTTTTTTAACATGAACTTCATGAAAAATATAATATAGAAAAGGTACTTGTAATAGTTAGAAAACATGTCAAAAGCGAGAAATCATTTAAACATTCGTTTAGGGTATCTTTCGCGGCTTTTTGACCCTTATGACCCTTAATTAATAACTAATTATCAAATTGCCCTTCATTCAAAACTATTTCGAAAATTTACCCTCCCCAACAAACATAACACCAATCTGCCCCTGTTTGACCGTTGACCACGAAGCCTACCCGGGTACACCATTATCTACCCGGGTAATTTTTGAAACTTTTTATCTACCCGAGTATGTAGGGGTGTACCCGGGTAGAGTTCTTGAATCTGGGAAAATGGTTGAATTATTTACCTGGGTATGGAGCAGTGTACCCGGGTAAACATCGACGGTAGGGTTTTAAAATATCCCAGCAGCCCCATTTCGAAAACCCACAAAAGGGGTACCCGAGTAGAGCTGCTGGATGAGTGTCTTCTTGAGCGATTTCAGGCATAATCTTGCACCAATTCGTCTTGTTTCTGATCATCATTCGCGGACCTTGCAACCTCTCTGCCTTCTACCGATTGAAATCGATCAAAGGTGCATTTTTTTTTTCAGTTTTTTCAATTATGTTATGATTTCTGTTCTGATTCATTGTATTTTCGTTTATATCATTTGATTCTGTCCGAATTATTTTATCAATTTGTATGTCATACGCTTACCCTAACCCTAACCCTAACCCTGAATCTAACCCTAACCCTAACCCTAACCCTAACCCTAACATGTATCTAATTTCTGATTTTGGTTATTTTTTTAGTTTAATAGTGTGACACAATGACCTCTCGACGCGTTTCAAAGCTGCCAGTGACCTATTCCGAGAGAAGAACCAAGAGTCGTCACGATGGGTCGTCATCCTCTCAGCCCCAGGCTGCTTCGAGTCAGGCTCCGGACTTGATGTTCGGATATTTGTTTGAGGATGACATACCTTCACACGAGAAGTTCGTGAAGTTTTTCATGACCCGGAAGATCTGCGAACCGAAATCACTGGATTCGGCATTCTTCAACCTAGAGCGTTTTGACATTGTGCCGCTTCTTGAGCAGACACATTTACTTCACCTGGCGGAGATGCGGTGCCCATACTTGGAGGTTATGGTAAGAGCCTTCTACCAGAACCTTGGCTACTCGCAAGGCGAGCTGACTTCCCGTGTCTGCGGGATTGATATCATCATGACTGCTCCTATCTGGACGGAGCTACTGGGGTTCGATTTTGATGGTGTCACAGGAGCAGCACTATATGATGGAGACAACCATCATATATTTGGTGATTATAACCGGGAGACCATTGTTACAGAGACTAGGAGGGCAGACGCTGAGCCCGGTCATTTTGCTCATTATCCTGTTAGCAACTTGTCAGTTTCTGCTCGCATTCTTCATTATGTGGTGACACATATTATTTTCCAGCGCCCGCATAATCACTCAAAGGTGCTGGAAGGGGACTTTGTCATCCTGTGGGCCCTCCTTCACAGTCAGCAGGTGAACTGGAGGCATTACATATGCATACTGATGTGGAAGGCAGCCAAGTCAAAGAAGGCTGAATTGCCTTTTGCATTTCTGGTGCAGAAGATTCTGCATAGATTTAGAGTGCCTATGGCAACAGAGACCTTGAAGACCGCCAGAGGCTGGAATGCTATATTTGGTGAGAGGCTCCTGAAGCAGTGTGGGATCCTACCGAACAGAGCGGGTATCTGGACGTGGAAGAAGGCACCAGAACCACCTGAGATCCCATTCCACCACGATGCTGAGATGGAGGATGCACCTGCAGGTGATGTGTTGGTCTTTATGAGTTTGTGCAATTTTGTGTTGTTTATTTTTTAATGTGGTATTTATAAGATGTGTTTTTCATGGTTTATGATGTAGGCCTTGATGATGATGACGATGATGATGGCGTTGCTGAGGTTGATGTCAGACCGACACGTCCCACCCGCAGTCGGCGACCACCAGCTCCTCCTGAGGGTGGATGGACACTTGATCATGTCATGGCATCCATATATGATCTGACTACTGACTTTAGAGGATATAGACAGAGCACGAGCAAGTGGCGGAACCAGATGGACACAAGGGTTGCACGGTTGGACACAAGGGTTTCACGCTTGGAGGGTTTAATTGGCGAGGGTGCCCATACTCAGGAGGAGGAGGAGGAGGAACAACAACAAAGTCAATAGGGATGGGCTCAAAAATTATTTACAGTATGAAGTGGCAAAGAGGGGTCACATGCTTTCACATACCCCAAAGCAAAATTATTTACTCACCTGGAGGAACAACAACAAAGGCAATAGGGAGCAGAAATCCATCTCCATCCTGAGATGTTGCAATCAATAGAGTACCTCTGTACTTCCCATACAGATGAGTGCCGTCAATTTGAATTATAGGCTTGCAGTGTTTGAATGCTTCAATGCATTGGTGAAATGTCCAAAAAACCCTTTGAAATACGGCCCTGTCTGTATAAACCCGACGTTCATCAAAACATTGATTTGTATCAAGCTTGAACACAGAACCCACATTCACCTCCGTCATATACTTCAGCCAATTTGGCAAGAATCCGTACGATTTCTCCCAGTCACCAAACAACTTAACGATGGCCTTCATTTTTGCCTTCCAGGCCTTCCTGTACGTTATGTTGTATCCATATGTTCCCTGTATCCTCTCCTGTATCAGAGCTGGTCTTGTGGATGGATCTTCCTTTAACATATCTGGAAAAAAAAATAACTTTACCATATTCTCAATTAATCTGAATCATTAAATACACAGTAGAATACATACTCATTATAGCCGCACAAATGACATTTGAATCCAACTGTCTATGATCCTGTGCTAGGCCTTGATTTAGGCATGTGTGACCTTGACCCCATTTACGAACCACCCAATTAGCTCCCTTCTTCGGCTTAATTGCCCTCATATACCAGGGACAACCGTCAGCATGGTTTTTACACTGCATAACAAATCTTGACTCGTCGCTTTTTTCAACTATGGCTGTCCTGCGCCCCTTCATACAATGTATCTTCACAGCATGTTGCAATTCTGGTTTGGACCCAAATTCTTGTTGCACAAATAACGGATCTCCTAACTTCCAACCTTCGTGCAAGTCATCATCGCCATATAGGATCTCCAATTCGTCATTAGGGTGCGCCCAGTTAATGAATGAATAATGTTGGCTTTCATTCCAGAATGGATCCTCAGACCCTGCATCTAAAGATCAACTCTCATTTGTCTGAATGAATACCACCACAAATAATAAATTGTCTAAAGCAAATGTTCAAATTTAATAACTTACCACTACTGACTGGGTCGACATGAAGTGGTGACAAGGCTGGGGTACCGAGACTTACGGCGCTCATGTCAGCCTCAAAATTACCGTCCACGTCAGTGTCTGACAAATCACCTTCTGGAATAGCACTTTCAGGTTCTCCCTCATCTTCGCTGTCCACATAGTCCTCGTCTTCATCCTCTTCATCCTCATCCAATGCTACCTGAGGAGGTGCAGAAGATCGTACAACTGTATCTTCTTGACCGGTACAGTGTGCAGTAGTGGTTGTATGCACCGGTAAAGATGAAGATTGTCCAACATCAACTTCAACATATATCTCAATATATTTTAATACTTTTCATTCAACAAACGCATCTGTTACGAACTCCACATCTTCATCATCATTTATATCGTTTCCAATGTAGTATATTGTATCCATATCCACTACAGTCTCTAACCTGGCTATCATGCGGTGGATGGAATGTATGCCTTCTGACCCCATTTTTTGAAGAATTCTCTCCTTCAGTTCATTGCATGTAGTGCCCAATTTGATTTTCATCGTTTTTGTTTTTCCTTCAAATCGGACACCGTTCGGACCTTCAAAATGCCTCCCATTGTAGTAAATAACTATAGGAACCATGTTTGGACTTGAACTCATCTTTCACACAAAAATTAGATCTAGGTTTTGGGTTTGGAGGTTGGTTCGGATTTTTGAGCACAAAATGGGAGTGTGGAGATGTAATCTCAATGTCCCACCAAGATTCAGCTTTCTGAAATGATGAGATGAAATATGTGTGATGTTTCGGATTAGAGAGGGTAAGAGAGAGAGATTTGGGGTTTCAAAAACCCTATACCTCGCAACAATGGCCGAAACCCATACATATTGGGGTTTCTGGACGCGATTTACCCGGGTACACTGATCCATACCCGGGTAAATAATTCAACCATTTTCCCAGATTCAAGAACTCTACCCGGGTACACTCCTACATACTCGGGTAGATAAAAAATTTTCAAAAATTACCCGGGTAGGTAATGGTGTACCCGGGTAGGCTTCGTGGTCAACGGTCAAACATGGGCAGATTGGTGTTATGTTTGTTGGGGAGGGTAAATTTTCGAAATAGTTTTGAATGAAGGGCAATTTGGTAATTAATTATTAATTAAGGGTCATAAGGGTCAAAAAGCCTATCTTTGGCACATAGTATAGAATAAGGTCTGATAATATAAGACTTAATAGTATAAGACATGATTGTATAAGACCTGATTAAATTTTATTACTATCCAGCGTTTGACATAATATTGTATAAGATAATATATTATATAAGATAATATTATCTAATGTTTGATAATACACTGTATTATACTAGATAGGTTAAAAATAAATATTGTCAAAAATACCCTTTAATAATGAATTTACATAATTCTTTCAAATATATAAGATGATATTAT